GCGCAACCCCCACTGGGGATGTGCCCGCAACCAAGGTACATGCCCTTGACCGGAATCGAACCTGGGACCTTTGAGTCTGCAGGCTGACGCTCTATCCACTGAGCCAAACTATTTAGGGCCCAAGCAAGGTTCTTGATGCAGTCATAGGTGCTGTCTGAGGCTCCCACCACCACTGCTGCACTCGCCAGCCGTGAGCCCAGCTTCTGGGCTTCTGGGCTTCTGACTGAGCAGTGCTCCCCCTGAAGAGCACTGACCAACAGGGGGCAGCTCCTGCATTGAGCGTCTGACCCCTGGTGGTCAGTGCACATCATAGCGACCGGTCGTTCCACTGGTCATTCCTCTGTTCAGGCGATTTGCATATTAGGCTTTTATTATATGGGATTTTCTCAAAAGGGATTTAATATGTAACCAGGGTACTATTTTCATAATATCTTACTGGTGGTTTTTATATGATTATATTTTGCCATTGATCTCTTTTGAGTAGTTTATATATTCTAGTAAACTAGCTAACAACTAGTGAATAGTTGAAAAAAATTGGATTTGAAACATAAATAGCAGCACTCTTATTGGTTTCATGAATTTTTCTCCTGATCTAAATCCTAAAGAAAAAAGAAAAAAATTGTTTGGTCAGGTGAATTCAATGAAATAGTTTTACATTTTGTCCAAAACGTTGAGCTCCTTACTCTAGTCACATGTAATTAGCCATATTCAAATGAGACTTAGATCTTTAAAAATAAGAAATGACATAAGTTTATTTAAGCACTTTTATTGCTTACCTATTAAGACACAAGGTTTTTTTTTTGTATTTTGTTTTTTTTTTAGTGTGGTTAGTGATTAGTTCCTTGATAATCTAGTTTTCAAGCTTCACAAATCCCCTCTGTTGGAATATAATATGCTGTATAAAGATAAAAGCTCCTGGAGTAAGCCCAGAAGAATTTGATACATAAAACTTGACACAAACCAGATGTGAATTTCCATCAGGTTGGCACCACATATTTTTGCATAATTGAAAAAACTAAACATAATTGTAGATTACCTGTTGTGTGGAGGCACCTTATTGTTCAATTTAGAATTTTCATTTGTTTACATTATATTGACAGGTTGCCTCAGAGATGGTCAACATTATGAAGAAGGATCAGTAATTAAAGAAAACTGCAACTCCTGGTAATGGATTTAAGTGGCACTGAACTGAATTCTACTGTGCGTTTTCTTCAAATAAAAGGAACATCTGTGAAACAAAGCATACATTCTATCTAGAAAGAATCATAAGTACTAAGATACCACATATCTACCGTAGTTTGTATAAACATATTTAATTTTAATGAATGTTAAAAAATTTAATCATGAATACATTTTGTATTGCTTGAGTTTGATGTACATGACAGTAGGCCTTCATAATACAGCAGGCCTGCATTACATATACCTCTTCGATATGTATATACATATATATATTTGCAAAATTCAAATAGGCATATGACTAATCAAAATATGTTTTATGCCTTAAGAATGCATTATAAACATTCTGATATACTATGGATAAACTGTGCTTCTTTGAACACAGTAACTGTATATAAAAACAGGTTTCCTTGACAGGATTATCCTATAGAAAGCTTCCAATTACAAATATATTGAATCTACTGTCTAATTGGATTTGTGTTTTTAAACTTCAGTGACTATGTGGTCACTTTATTTACCAATTGCCTGGAATAGAAGATGAGAACATATTGAGTAGTAGCTAATGCATATGATGTATGTATGTGTGTGTATATAGATATATATATATATATATATATCTATATACACACACATATGATATGTATATACATATATATTTGCAAAATTCAAATAGGCATATAACTAATCAAAATATGTTTTATGCCTTAAGAATGGACAACTCTGCTTACTAATTTTATAAACAGATTCCATTAAGGTCATACCACATTTGTAATTTTTATATCTTTGCAGCACATGTTCAGGACAGCAATGGAAATGTTCCCAGCATGTATGCCTCATTGAACCAGAATTAATTGAACATGTCAATCGTGGAGACTATGGGTGAGTGAAATCTTGCTTTGTAGGCTTTTGGCACTCCCAGTTTCCTTTCAGGTTGCAGACAATGTATTTCCTATTATTTACTTTAAAAATAGTCATTTCATGAGAAAGAAATGGGAAGAGAGGCAGAATGGTATGTAAAAATTGGGATGCACAGAGGTGAATACTAAGTAATTAAAAATAAAAATGCACAAAAAGAAGTATCGAGCATGGCTTTAAATTGTGTAGAAATGAGCAGCGTCGAGGTATGAGCGAGGAGTGTAGGGAGAGCTTTAGTTTGGATAAGTATTCAGGCAAAATCAGGAAGTAGGCTGATATGTATATACATATATATTTGCAAAATTCAAATAGGCATATAACTAATCAAAATATGTTTTATGCCTTAAGAATGGAATAATTTATTCATGATATCACCTTTCCCTAGGCTGCTGCCCTGTCCCATCTATCACATGCTCAGCTCTCCTGGGAAGTCTAGCCTTATGAAGGCAGCATTATATCTTTTTTGTTTTTAATCCTCACCCGAGGATATTTTTTTCCATTGCTTTTAGAAAGTGGAGGGAGAAGAGAGGAGGAGAGGGGAAAGGGAGAGAGAAAAAAATCAGTGTGTGAGAGACACATCTATTGGTTGCCTTCTGCACAATCCCTAACCGGGACTGTGGATAAAACTTGCAACCCAGGTACATGCCTTTGACCAGGAATTGAACCTGAGACCACTTTGTGTGTGGGCTCTATCCACTAAACCACACGGGCCAGGGCTATATCTTGATGATCCCCAAATAATCAATCTATATAGACAATTTCACTGACATGGCTGATATCTAGTTAATTTCACTTACAGTTGAGTCAAAAGACAGATTGAGCCTTTTTACTAAAATGAAAGATAGGGCTGACTGACACTTAAACATAGGAAATAACTTTCTCCTCTTCGAAAGATTAATAAATTAAG